AGTCAGAGCACATATGCAGAATTATCGAGAAACTAGTTCGCCTTCCTTCGGGAACCCGTGCATTCTGGTCTATCGCCAAGGCTGTCCAAGGGAATTTCTGTAAGCAATCACTAACATCTCCGCACAGGGAGAATAACTCACTGGCCCACGCCGCAAAAGAGAAAGCCGACCTATTAGGCTCCGCTTTTGCGTCCAACTCGACTCTTGATGACGGGGGGAACATACCGTCGACCTTCTCGCAGTGTGAGTGCACTATGCCTGATGTGCGATTCACACAACGCTCAGTACGCAAATCACTCCTCTCCCTGGACATCCACAAGTCATGTGGGCCTGACGGAATCCCGCCAATTATATACCATATAACAGTACTGGTGATGCTCTATACACCAGTCGTGCCAGTATTTCTCGGGAAAACTTCGCCGAGTACCGGAGCAAACTTGTGTCTAAAGACGAGACTTTGTTGAACAAAGTCTCGGATTGGAGGTGACTAAACTAAACCACCAGCGATTTTTCCAGACCGATACAATTCAAGAAAGAGTCTACTCCTTTTTAAAAGGCTAGCAACGCATGTGCAATTCCCGTGGTGTTGCAGTTGTTTATTGTCGGTGGTAGTCACTTACCATCAGGTTAGCCGCATGCTCGTTTGCCCCCTCTCCTATAAAAAAAAACGTAACTGAAAAACAATTAATAGTCATTTGATAAAGAAATATTATAAATACATAATAATATATTGAAATTATTTATTATATTAAGAAAAATTAGTTTCTTAAGAAAAAAAAATAAGAAAAATGTGAGTGAAAAGCATCGCCCTTAAAAAAATTTAATCTATGCCAGTACGACTAACTTATGCAATTTATAAATCCGACGGCTAAAATTGGACTTTTCGTAAATTATATTTCTGTGCTTTAAACCCGCACTTACATGATATAATATAAACTAATTTTAAGTTTCTGTCGGTAATATTGAAATAATTGCCTTTTACCGAAGTCAGAGGGTAATTCTACATTTATACATATCTCATTTTATCATTCAGTTTATAAAGCTTTAATTTAGTTATATTTATTGATGAGTTATATTGAGAAAACGAAAATTATTAAAATAAATGGTCTTTGATCTATATCTGGAATCTACATAGCGCCACATGATTAAATTCTACTCATGTGAAGCCTGTCTTATAATAAATCACATATTTGAACCATTATTTACAGTTGAACCGCTTGTTACTATTAAAAATTATTAAAAGTTCTTAAGTCCATACCTATTCATTAACAGAGGATTTCTCTTTTTTCCATAAAGTTATTTAATTCAAATCAACTTAGCAGCGGAATAAATTTACTTTAGGGGAAATGAGAAAGTGGATAATAGCTCGATTAAAGAAGCATTGTATTGTCGAGATTTTTTGTTCTTTAATATATTTTATAATAAAGAATTTTGTAAAAATTGTGAATTTTGTCATTTATATTATATACAACAACTAAAATGATGTGCGATTACAAAAATGTTTCAAAAATTTGTTTTTTTAAACGCAAAACTCACTGCAAAGATATTGAGTGGGCAGGGTGTATGCAAATTGGGGTCTGAAACCATCTGGCGACCCGGTTGCGAGAAATTCTTCCAAATTAGCTAAACCTAGCAGTACAATGTTTCAATGTACTGCCTAGTTTGGTTTCAATGTACTGCGTAAATATTTATAAAATATCAGTATCGATTATAAGCTGATGTCGTTAATCAATATATTCTTTATTGTAAATCAATACACATATTTTTATTGCACATAAATACACCTAAGCCAAAATGAAATATAATAAAAAAAGGTTCAATAGGCGGTCTTATCGCTCTGGAAGCAATTTCTCCAGATAACCATTTTAAGTAAAGAACTTGTTTACAACGAAAGGCAAAGCAGGAGGTGTACATAAATAAATACAAAAAAATAAAATAAAAATAAAATCACAAGATGACATTAGTTGAGAATAACTAACAGATACAAAAAAGGACGGGAATTATGATAGGGAATATTATAGTTCTACTGTATATGCGATAAGGCAGTTGCGGAGTGATTTCCACCGGCAAACGATTACCACCAAGGTTTCACAATCGTACTACGGATTTCAAAAACTGCGCTCATTATGTCACTTGCTCCTGCCAGTCGACAGGGAGTTCCCCGACGGGCGAGGAATACTAGACCTACATGGGGAGAGCGCGGGGCTTGATAGAGAGTGGGGAATTCCGGGGAATAGAGAAATCAAAAATGTTGCAAGGTTTGGGTTTGAACGTATCAATTTATAGTAGTTAACACAAATCTTAATAAATTATACTATAACATAAAAGTTCAATTTAATGTATAGTAATGTTAGTTGTTTTTTTATTTTAAGTTAAATTAGATTTTAGTACCGTACTATTATAATAAATATGTAGAAAAGTCGTGTCTGTAATTCTAATATTTTCTAGAAAAAAGTTCAGGGGACTAAATAAAGGGTACTAAAACCAAACTAGTTGTTTTTCAGTTTTTTTTTCAGTCTGACTGTCTGTTTTTTTTTCTTTTCTTTTTTGCCATTCATGCGAAAACGACTGGACGGATTTCCATAAAATTTTATCGGATTATGGAACTTCAAGAAAGGAGGGTTAAGTATTTTCCTTCCTTTAGATATTAGTTATCTATTATATATTATGATTATTATGTTAGTTGCAAGCGGTATAACGGATGTTTTCTTAATAAGTACAATATTTGTAAATAAAGTTTAAAATTAACTTTAACTGTTGTATAATGCTTGATGTATTTAAATATAATTTAGATTATCGTTAGATTTGTCTTAGTTGCGGAATTGACGTAGAGAGGGAGAGAGAAAGAGAGAGAGAGAGAGAGAGAGAGAGAGGTATCTATATTTTCCTCCTTTCTGTAGATTTTTTACGCATTCGGTTTTTAAATAATGTTTTAACATTGGGCTTTTTAATGATACTGCACCATAAAGGGAGAAGCAAATTTCAACAGTTCTTTCCAGAGATTTTTTGGTCAAAAATTGGTTTAATGGCAAATACCAGCAAAGATGAAGGTAGCACGTCAAAGGCTAATTAGCCTGTCTACTATAATTTAAGCATAAATTTCTAGAACATACTAGGAAATCTATGTACCCACTTAATTATTGTTGGATTATGTAAAATTAATATCGCTAATAAAGCATAGTGGCGTTGTGAAAACTTGTTGGTGAGCGAGATAGGCGTTCAAGTGAGAAAGTTTTAGTAGTTTTTAGTCCATGCGTCGTCGCTATAGTTTCGCTACTTAATTTTTTTTCTTTTATCCCTTTTGTATATTAAAGAAAACTGTTTATTAATCCGGCTGCCAAGCGTAGCAATTATGGACATACCTCACAGAAAATTCAAGCTTGCAAGCGATACTAAAAAACTATTCAGTGATAATATCACCACATTATGTCTGTAAAATACAAATGCAGACATTTTCCACAGTTAAATGTTTCGCTATACGAGAAAATGTGTATAAAATAAATATTAATATTGATAATTATGCCTATATAATTGCTAATTATAATAATATTAATAATATTGATAAATATAACTTGGCTGTCCAAATTTCATAAGCCTAGGGGTTCACAGAACATTTTCGTTTTATTTCTCTCACGTCTTTCATTTTGTTAATAAGAAAAAAAGACATGTAGATGGAAAAGAATAATTGCCATAGCTAAAAAATGTTATTTGAAATCTCACATTAGGTAATAAAACAAAGGCTGTGATTTCATAGATAAGTATTATTATAAAAATAAAATAAGTTTTGAATGATTCCTCTTACATTCATATTTTTAAAATAAATCCGAAACAATGATCGAAAATTTACGTCGTTCGATGTTTTAGGCCATGATACCTTTAAAATCATGTTAGTAATTATACATTAACCGTGTAGTGGCTGTATAAGAAAGGATAAAAATGTAAATGTCTATGGGCCACAGCATCCAGTTACCATCAGTTGGAATGTGTGCTCATTTGTCACCAACAGAGAACTGGAGACCCATTCTACTGGAAATGAGGCATTCTCTATTAATTTGAGCAGCCAGGATCGACAACGCATCTGCGTTTTGATTCCTAATCGAAGATTGATGATGAGTAGATGTCTACGGGTTTACAGTGTACATCATCCACTTACCATCACTAAGAATATCTAAAACTTCATATCATCCCATAGAAATCGTAATATCGGCGACAGAGGGAAGCTGAAACTGAATAAACAAAATACTGTGGTTACCAACCCCTTTGCCAAGCGTGGCAACTATCACAAACATCCAAGCAACGAGCCAATCTATGTGGGAGGCCTATGTTTAGCGGTGGAATTTTAATGGGCTGTAATGGTATGTATACATATTACGTTACTTATGTCGATTGTATACTCATGTGGAAATGTCATGTCATATTAATAATAAAAGTGTTTTTAAACAAAGTTACTATATTATAAGAGCATATTTGTTTCATCTTATATTTTTCGAAATTTTTCGAAATATTTTTGTCCACAGGCACTGCAGCCGAGGACGGGTGCTGGTCAGGGATGGCCGAGCCGTAGATTGATGGCACCATAGTGCAACAAGCAGCGCCATCTAACAATTAGTTTTGCGAACTAATAATATGTACCTACACAAGTCAGGACGGACGAGCGGACTAATTGGTGACTAAAGGTCATAGCCCACTTACACGACTCTGCTCCCACCCGGCAAAAAGAGTATAATTTAAATATGGGCTTTAAATATTGCTCTTTAGATATATTTTACATTAGGATCATAAATTAGCAGACAGCTCGCTGTCAGCGAGCTTACCGCCGTCAGACTGCTCGGTAGTTGACGCCTCGCTGGCCGCACGTCGTAGACGAGCGGCCGGTGCGGTGTCCGCGCGCTCACTGCAAGCAGTCGGCGCCGTCGCCGCTCAGTCGGTCAGTATCTACCAAGCAATCCTCACGCTCGATCTCTTTCCGAGTGTTTTCGCAGGTATTGAATGTATCCATTATGAATAAAGAAAAACTTATAGAAGAAGTGCGAAGATATCCCTATCTGTATGATGCCAGTGACGCAAAATACGCAGATTCTGTCAAAAGGGATCATACATGGAAATCTATTGCTACAACGTTGTCTGCAACAGGTATGTACCAATCTACATACAATACGTACTATATTTAAAACGTGGTGGAAGTAAAAATGAATTTTTTATGGTTGATTTTTTTTAACATTTTCGCTCCATAACCTTAAAATTAGGATACCGAAAATTTTGATTTCGAAATACTTATCTGTCTGTCTCTTTCTGTCCGTCTGTCCGCTTATAACTCGAGAAGAATTGATAAAACTAAAGTACATGTTGAAATAATAACTTTTGTGGTAGTCTATAAGATATTTATTTTTCATAAAACAAAATATATTTTTTAAATGAAGGATGAAACTTGCTTTTACTTTTTTCCTCGTTATTAAATATTTTGATGCAGCCATGAAACTTGACCTTCAGGAGATTGAAAGTAAGATGAAAACAAGTCTCGAATATTAAAAGCAGTTTCCGTTTTCTAGTATTGGTTGCAGGAAGCCATTCTCGTTGTGATGTATTGGTTGCTGTATCTCATGTTGATTTAGATACTCTATTTCATAACTTCGCATAATATTATGTAAAATACATGTCGCTAGTATCAATGTGTTAACGTGAATCGGGTTCACATTAATACTTTTATTATAAATGCCAAATTTCTGGTACAATATTCCAAATGCATCTTCCACAAGTTTGCGTGCTCGTGATAAACGTTCATTGAATATAGTTTGTGCTTCAGATAAGCCACGACAACGAGGGTATTGCCTCAATAAATTTTTCATTAGAGGAAACGCCTCATCTCCTATGAAAACATGTGGTATATCTCTGTTACTTCCAGGTAGTGGTTTACCGTTTGGAATATGTAATGAATTACTTTTAAGACGTCTCGCTAATTTCGAAGATGCAAATATTCTACCGTCACTATTTATACCAAAAGTACCTATATCAACTATTATAAATCTATATTTATCATCAACCACAGCCAATAGGACAACAGAAAAGTGCTTTTTATAATTAAAATACAGCGAACCACTATTAGCAGGTGCTATGATGTTGACATGTTTCCCATCTATAGCGCCGATGCAATTTGGAAAATTCCATCTGACTTGAAATCCTTGAGCTATACATTTCCACCGCTCTTCAATTGGCGTTAGAATGAAAATTTCCATTAACTTATTTATGATTGCGTTACATACTTCTTGTATAATTGATCGGATTGTTGATTCGCCTAATCTAAAGCTTGAACTCAACGTCCTTGCTGAACTTCCCGTGATCATGTATCTGAAACAAAACTTTCTCTAATGATTTCTTATATTTACGCGAACACTACACATTTTTAAATAAAACTTTCCAGCACCCGAAACGTCGGGAATATAAAAATAGAATATAAATAGATATAAAATTAGATATATAAATAGAATATAAAATACGCGATAAAATTCGTAAAATTAGTTTTATTTAAATAAACTTTCTCTATTAATATTTCTAAACAAAAATAAACACACCTTAGCACACAGACATCTCTTCACTTCGATTTTTTTCTTTTTCAGAATCAGAGTGCAAGAAAACATGGGCAAACTTAAGTGAAAGCTATATAAGGGCAGTTGTTAAAAAACGCACAAAAAGTGGTCAGGCTGCTACCTCATCAAAAAAATTGCAATTTGAAGAAGAGATGTCTTTTTTGTTGCCGCATATGAAACAAAGAAAAACAATTTCATCATTAACGGAAGATGATAGTGAGGTTGACGATAATTTTTATGTTAACGAATTGTTGTCAAATCACGATGATTCTCCCATGTCATCGAATGACCCAAAACTTAATATCACCAACCGACCAGAATCTTCTTCAACAAATACGTCAGCAAACTCTCCTTTGTTTCCGAACATACCTAAAAGAAAGCGATTGAAAGGGACCCACGAATGTACCTCAGCATCAGCTCAACTTTTACAATATTTACTTAAAGAAAAAGAGACAAATAAGGATGACGAGATTGACACGTTTTTTTCGAGCATTGCAACAACAGTAAAAAAATTAAATCGTTACAGCCAATCTGTTCTGAAATCTAGAATATTCAACATGGTGTCTGAATTTGAATTACAAGAAATCCAGAAACAAACTAATTTCTATGCTGGTTCTTCACGACACAATACTGATATCGAAAGTCCTTCGGGTTATAGCACCTACAATACAGGACCTTCGGGTTGTAACACCCACAATATAGGATCTTCGGATTATAACCTCCATAATGCAGGCCCTTCCGCCGGATCTTCGGATTATAACATTCATAATGCAGGCCCTTCCGGCTATAATACCCGCAATGCAGGATCTTCGGATTATAACATCCATAATGCAGGCCCTTTCGATTTTAATACCCGCAATGAACAGCTTTCAGGCAATAATCCTCCAGTCTTAGAAGAACCGATATTGAACAGTGAATTGGCTAATGCTACACAGAAAAATGATTCCTAAGATTAAAATGTGCTAGAAAACTGTTTCCTCATTAATTTTGAGTTAACATTGTAAGTGATAAGCAGTGATCGGAATAGGGTGAGTATATTTACCTACAGTTTGTAGAACAGGGACAAAAATCGGAGACTTCCTTATAATTAAACAATTTTTACTATTAAATTTAACAGAAATTTAATAACGTCAATTTAAACGTCTTATTAATACAATAAAAACATTTATTAATTCAATAAAAACAGTCGAATTGAAAACTTTTTTTAAGTCATTAAAAATGTTGCACCATGTGAAAAAAACTCGTAGGAAGAATATTAACACAATAAATGTTTTTATTGAATAAATAAGACGTTTAAATTCATGTAATTAAAGTTCTGGTAAATTTAATAGTAAAAAAAATTGTTATAAGGAAGTCTCCGATTTTTGTCTCTGTTCCATAAACTGTAGGTAAATATACTCACCCTATTCCGATCACTGATGATAAGTAATGGAAATTAGAGTATGATTAGTACTATTTTTTTTTTTCAAATAAATGTGTACAAATTTACAAGAAAAGTTTCTCTTTCACTTACCTTAACGTGACGGCAATTTTTTCTATTAGTGTTATTGCTTGTCTGAATTTCGTATTCTTCTTTGTTATGTCTTTTTCAATAAATGATAACATGGAGTCAAATAAGTACCGATCCATATAAAAGAAAATGTAGAATTTTTCTTCGTCATCTAATAGGTGTCTCTGGATCTGCCAAAATTCTCCTTCTGCATGTCTTGCTTTCAGTATTTTATGCACCCAATGGGTGGGAGCGGTGTTGGAGCAGAGTCGTTTAAGTGTGCTATTACCTTTATAGTGTTTGTTATAGAAATGCATGAAGATACACGCCCGAGGATACATTATATTAAGGATACATTAAATTAGTATCTAGCAGCACTATGCTAAATTACCTCAATAGTGCCTCCCAACGGATAGGTCTTAAGATGAGCATGGACAAAACAAAGATCACGTGTAACGTGTATGTCACATCTATGTCGGTAGTTGTTGGGAAAACTAAGCTTGAAGTTGTTGACAAGTATTACCTTGTTTACCTTGGACAAATGGTCCGACTAGATAAGTTCAACTTCGACCGAGAGGTCAATCATAGGATTGCAATCGGCTAGACAGGGTTCGGGAAACTTCGACACATCTTCTCGTCAGGTATACCTCAAAAGCTGAAAACGAGATTGTACAACCAGTGCATGTTGCCAGTAATGACTTATGGATGTGAGATGTGGTCTTCCACTGCTGGCCGTATGAGGACGCTCAAGGTCGCTTAGGGAGCTATGGAGATGGCTATGCTCGGGGTTTCTCTGTGTGATAAACTTAGAAATAGGATATCCGCAGAAGAACCAGAATGGCCGACATAGCTCAACGGATTAGTATGCTGAAGTGGCAATGAGCCGGCCATATAGCTCGAGGAACTGACACCCGATGGCGAAAAAAGGTTCTCAAACTCTGATTAACGTTTAAATGTCTATATTGCACTTCCTGCATAAAACTGAATTCATGTTAAAAACAAACTTATTTTAAGTAACTTTTAGTAAGTTACTTAAAATAAGTTTGTTATGTTTGAGAATTCCAAGAATAAAACTACCTGCGTTGTTTATGAAATAGACGTAAGTTAAGAGCACCTTTCAAATACATGTTTTCTTATTTTAATACTGTCACGGATAGAATAGAAAAGGAAATTCCAATAAAAAAACGAATCCAAAAATAATATGTGTATGTAAAACAGTATATCCAATAGTAGAATTAAAAATGTTCTAATTTTTTAAGATTTAGATATGAGTTTCATTCCGTTAATATTGTTGTCATAACATTTAAGGCCATATAAATCTATGCGGAAATATACTTTTTCTCTTAATAGATGGCAAACATTTTTCTATTCTTTAGAAAAACGCTTGTCACAGGAACTTAATAAGGTGAATAAAATAAATCAATTAATGTTCTGTAAACATAAACTCGGTTAAAATTTTATTATATGATCAAGGAATAGGCTTTCATAGAAAAAGAATTCCCAGATGCATAAAAGCATCAGAAAGAAATAAACCGTCAGTAGAGCAAATGATTTATAAAATGTAGATATATTTTAAATACGTACGATATTAAAAAGAGTCAAAGTAAATAATACAGTAATACACAAACATCATCACTAAATCTCATTTAAGTCGGCTGCTAAGCTTTGGCATCTCCCCCATAGCACGGTGACCCATCTAACACAAACGTTTCCCTTTACTAGGAGTAGCATACCAGGAGTAGCATAGTATACCATTTTTATAGAAGTTTGCCCCTAAACAAGCCTACGGCTCGGTAAATGTCGACTGCCTCCCATGAACACCTGCAAACACCAGGAGAATCGCAGGTGTGTTGCCGGCGTTTAAAAAGGAGTAAACTAGTTATTGAAAGTCCCTTAATCCTATTGATCTAAAAAATTGCCAATGGCAGACTATTCTACAAATAAGTCGTGCGAGGAAGAGAACTAAACCTTCTCCTTATACAGGATTTAAGCGGCAGTAGCTTTGCTGCTATTATACGATACAAGCTTGATGAAGCACAAATAGTTTTAAATGCGAAATAAAATGCGACCCTATAAAGCGTAACAGAACAGGGTATACGAACGAAGAGACCTTCTAACCAACAACACCTTTGCAACATCAACTAAGATACGTGAGGGTAATATGGTCAGCTTAAGTTTTGCCGTCCTATAGAACTAAAATTAGGAGAAGGACAGAGACGAAAACACAAAGTCGTAAACTATAACTAATATATTAAGAAAAAAAATAGCAAACAAGCTTTCGCAATAATTAAAAACACTTGCAAAAATCAACTTAATAAAAAAGCAGATAATGACCATCTTTTTTTATTAAAAATAGGCTCATTCTTGACCTCCGTCTGGCCCGAGGGCAAAAATGAGGTCTACGATGGAGTGAATTTGCACAGGAGAAACTGGTTAACACGCACCTTGAAGAGTTTGGGGTTTTATGCACTCTGAAAAACAGACGCCGGCAGGCCATTCCACTCCTTGGCTGTGCGCATTATGAAAAATATAACTTTTAGCGCTTAGTGTAATATTTGGAATATCAACCAAGTGTGAATGGTAACCTGCAGTACGTCTGGTACTCGATAAAATAATTGAGATGACGGTATGAGCTTATGAAGCTCTTGGCTGTTACGTTTTAATTTAGTTAAAATAAAATAACAAATAAGAATAAAGAAAAATAAGAATTTATTTATACACTAAGGGTCGGAGGTCGGTTAGTATTATTGATTTTGCTCTAATTGCCCTCAAAACAATACTCTCCTGCGCTCTGTTTAGTCTGCCTCTTTCTACTGCCGTGCATCTAATATTAAACCTTGACAGCTGCCGTCCAGTGAGCTCCGCTGTCTCCCGTCCCTTGTTCACGAAATCAGTCCGGAAGGAGTTCCTGAAGATGTACGCATTCTAAGCATTAGCACGAGTATATAATAGAAATATTTGTGTACCGCTAGTATCAACAGTTATGCAACTATGCAGAGCAGAGCTAATATGAAGCTTTACAAATATAGGTAGAAGCATGTAATTCAAGTTCCCTGGGATGATATGATATGCAGCAAGATTTAAGTTAAAAGAAATTAAATAAATTTTCTTAATTAAAGTTAAAGCAACAAGCGACCGTTTAATTGAATAAGCGATTTAAACAGCAGACAAAAAGAAAAATAGTTATTGTGAATCAGTGGAGGTTTTATCAGACAGTTGTTCTCTAGAGTCGTGAGGTCGAATACCCTAAATAAACTATATTCTTCTAGTGATCACATATAATCGTGTATACTAAGCGTTAAAATATCACATATTTATTTATTAATTAAATATTTATTTTACACTATAGGTTATTGTGTATATAATTAATAGAATCACGCGTTACTTAAAGCTTTAAAAAATATTTCGCAAACATCCGCTCTATAAAATTATAGAGCGGATGTTTGCGAAATACTTTATATAAACATCCGCTCTATAATTTTATAGAGCGGATGTTTGCGAAATATTAGTTTTATTGTTAAAGCTTTAATATTGTGTATATGTTTTATAATTTAACTTACATTCATTTTTTTTATCCTTTTGTTTAATATATTTATTTAAATACTATTAGATGGGAATACTACAAAATATCCCTTAATACTAATAGCAACTTCAATTACTAGTAATCTAGTAGATGGACGGCAATACGGGAGATTATTTTAAAAACTATATATTTACAACGAAAAGCTTACCTTAACTTACAGAACTCTAAATAAAGCTAATGATTTACCATATAATACATATTACAACGAAGGAAATTATTTCTAACGAAATGCAAGGAGTAGGCGTCTATTTCTATATATCCTTAAAATATATAAAAATAATTTACACAACTTACCCAGTACGCGAATCACCTTAAGAATGGTTATGATTTATATTTTTAGAGTAAAATATTTAGGAGAAGTGATTACAATTACACAAGGCTGTGTTAAAGATTTTATGATAAAATAAAACAAAATAAGCGCGAGTGCTCGTCAACAGTTGTGTATCGCCAGCAACGCAAAGTCAGGAATTTTTATTTAGAAGATGTTAAAATTAGGGCCCTTTTAGGTGCTAATTAAGTGCCAAGTTTAAAAATTAGGTGCTTTAAAATTTTCACCCCAACGAGCTGTTGAAAGAGCAATGGCAGAAAAATAGTTGACAAAAATTATCGCGTCTAGAAATAAGTTATATATAAAATGAGTTTTATTATTTTTCTATGATTTATCAAATAAAAATGTATTTTAATTAAAGCTACAGAAAAAAAAAACATTTTTGGGAATATCAAATGATTTAAATCATTTTACTCTATTCAAGTGTTACCATTTAGTATATTCATACTATTTTCGTATACAATTTGTAAGACTACCACACAACACTCAAAATGTTTTTATATTAAGATATTATAAGTAATAACTATACTATCAGTAATAATAAAAATAA